ATGGGGGTGGTGGGACTTTAGCCCCCCCCCACCTAGCGCCGCCACTGGGAGAAAAAAGTTAATCGATTTCTACATAGTTTGTACCGTACATTAGCCTCCTTTATAAGCAAATACAAGACAATAATATTATCTCACTTATAAGCATATTCTCTCTAATTTAAGTAAATGCAAGAAATGCCAGTACATCGCCACTTGCGACGACGCAGCCGGCGTTGAAGCAACTCTAGATGTAGGCCTATGTCTAGCCTTTTTCACCAGGGGAATGAGACAGAAGTGCGCTAGCCTTTTTTTTTCTCGATAACAAAGTTATCACCAGTGTCCTTTGGTAAATTTTCTCAAATGTTATGGTATATCACTGACAAACGTGTTTATCCATATCAAAGTTACGGTCAAAAGTAACTCTTGTTCTTTTTTACAGATGAAATAAAATTACGCAGAAGCGGTTCGGATTATAGACCTAGTACCGGTAACAGTATTACAGCGACTATAAAGGTACAGTATACAATATTATTCATATTCTTGACAGCAATTTGACCTCTGAAAGGTCATTGTTTGTCAAAAAACAAGGGCCTAAGACGACTGAAAAGCGGAGTTTCCTTCTTTCGTTCTGCCGGGTAAGATCAATTACTTTAGGCGACGTTTGTAGACTAACCAACACGTACCAACGTCCGCATGTCGCGCTAGCCTTATCCTACTCTAGGCCTAGACTAGCTAAGATGGTATAGGCATAGCCTTGAAGGGACGAAGGTCCCAATGAAAAACAACGTCGCTCCTTGATAGCTAACATTGTCTATTTAACATCACAATAATTCATTATTAGACCTATACAGTAGTTGTTTTTTGAATTGTACTCCACAAACCTCGCACAACTCGAGTAACGTTTCGTATCTATCAGCAAGGATTTGAACGGAATACCCAAGAACCCAAGACCAAGTCAAAATACCCAAGATCTTGGGTAAATACCCAAGCAGTGGTCACACTGGTATCTATTGTCGTGACGTCATGGCTCGCTGGCTCACACTTGCGATGTCTCGCACTTGTGATCAAATAACACGCTGGCTCGCACTTTGGCAACACTCTTTGGCAGTCAACTCGCCCCTAGAAAACCCGCCCTTGGAAACTTGCCCCATAAAAAAATGTACACTTCCTAGACCATGCAGTCTTCTTCAATAAAAATTGTAACCTTTGGTAATCAACTGCATTTTCCACATACATAGAAATTTTTGAAACTTTATTTAAAAAAAACCTAAACCATAATTCACCACTATAGACACTTTTTGACAAAAAATGAAAATTACGACTTTGTTACCCAATGAGAAGTGTTCTAATATAGACAATGGGTCGTGTCTCATATTATTTGTTATATTTTCATTATTCATTATTTTCACTTGACTCGCATAAATAATTTTGTTCGAAGAACATTTACATGCAGTTGTACTTCGCAGCACTTCACTTGCAATTTGCAATTTCTAGTTATATATTAGGCTTGTTTTTGATCTGGACACACTGGTGTGAACTTTGTCTCATCAAATCAGTAGAAATCTGAATATTCCATATGGTTAGGTCTGTGTAATGTTTAATGTTACATCTGATATAGCCTAGCTGCCTATCATGTTTGCTCTCGGTTTCATTCAATTAAATTAATTAACAGAATACACTAAAACAAAACACATAATAACACTTACAAAAATAAAACATTTTAAAATTTAATTTCCATTTTACAGTGCATAAAATTATGGTATGAGCTGTTCTATTTTCTCTATGGTATGGGTAACATAGATAGACATTTTATAAATAAACATGTTTATTCATTGTAAATGTAATCGTTTCAGCCTGTTTTGACGGTAATTTTATATTTAATAATAGGCCAATATAATATCATGCAGACTCCAAAAAGACTAAGAGAAGTCATGATTCAATATTTCGTTCTTTATTCGAACATCATCAGGAATGAAAAATAATTTTGTCCATAGGGACCATACCAGAATTGAAGTAACTAACCAATTAAAAGCGAGAAACCGGTAAAATTGACCAATTAAGGAAAACAAGGTGTGACATATTATTAATGAATTAACAGCATACCTTAAAACAAAATCAATCTTGATAAAGTGTGATCACACTGTTAATATGAATAAATAAATAAATAAACTAGATGTTAATGGCTACTTGAAGAATGCAAGTTCTTTGGATGCTTTTAATCCGGTATTTAAACATGGTTTATAGCGCCTAATAGCCTAATAATAATTTAGACCCATGTCTAGAAAAGTCAATAACTTCAGTATTATTGGATATTAAAGAATGATAATTAGAACCTTGAGCATCATCATAATCACCATTTTCCCAATATAATTTTTATTGCAGCCAGGACATTTGAAATGGTAGACAATAGAACTACGGTAATTTTTCGGCGTTAAAAAATAGGCTACTGATAGGAGCGTGAGTATCAGGCAGAAACTAGGTCAAAATTATTCTTATTGAATAAGGTGCTATCATCCATTGGTCATCTGTCAACACACTGTACTTGACATGCGTGTCCAATGAAATGAACTGAAATGATCATGAACCTTATTAACACATTCTATTTTACATAAAAACGCACATTCCATTTTTTACTGTACATAGGAATTTCACTGCCACAGCATAGAGCATGTATGCGCAAGCGAAGTATACTAAAAATAGTTACCGGTATAATAATCTATAACAAGAAAAAAGATAAATACACTGAGATTATTGTTAAATCAGGAAGAGGTAAAGTACCGGTAACCTATTAGGTTCAATTGCTTCCCTAGTGTTTGAATCACTAATCACTGTTATGTTTTTTCCCAAAGTGATTCCTCTAAATAATATTTTTTTGTGTTGTTAATGTGTAGATCATGAAATATAGAATTTTATATACAATAGACCTACATGTAATAATCGTATAATTTTATTTTTTTATATATTATTTTCAGAATTCTGACTACGATATTGATGAATTCATGGTAAAATATCGAAAAATTCATGAACATCGGATCAACCATACCCGTGAAATGTGTAAGAAATACGAAGCAGAAATACCGAAGATGACAAATCTTCCTCATCTCCTCGTAGACGAAAAACTTAAAATAGTATATTGCCAGATACCAAAGGCGGGCAGTACTAGCTGGAGTCGAATCTTTCTACATCTTAAGGGCTACCTTGATTACCCAGGAGCCTTGCGATTGAGTCGTTATCAAGTTAACTCAGCTTGGAAAAGAAACATTCCACAGGTACACGATTATACAGTTGAGAAACAAACAGAAATTCTAAAAACGTACACAAAATTCATGTTTGTACGACATCCATTTTCAAGATTATTATCTGCTTTTAACGATAAGTTAAAATTTAAAGAAAATGAAACTATGACAGCCATGCAGAATCAAGTAGGGTGGCGAATCTTAAGAAAATATAGACCTACTAAAAACGATACAAACTACGATATTAGATTTGAAGAATTTATCAAAATGGCAATTACTACAGGAATAACTGCTGATAATGCCCATTGGCGAGAAATGCATCGATTGTGCTATCCATGTGATGTTGGCTACGATATAATTGGAAAATTTGAAGATATTGAGAACGACGCGAAGTATATACTCACATTAGCTGGTGCTGGAAACGTGGCATTTCCAGGCACCTCTGGTACGTATTTCACCAACAGCTCCAACCGTGATAAACTTACAAAATATTATGCTCCTGTTTCAATTCCCGACATAGCAGCACTTTACAACAAATTCAAGTTTGATTTTTGTTTATTTGATTACACGATACCGTTGTTTTGAAATCCATCTGTGTGTCAAGTGTTCATCTTGAAATGGAAACACAAGCATATATTCCATCAACTTTATATAAATACCCCTAATCGATGTGTATGAGTGCATTTGGAAGAATATTTTCGTGATTCGAAAGATGGACTGTTCTATTCAAAGGAGGAACTGCGTTGAATAAAACAGTCCACCTTTAAACAATGAACAGTATATTTTGTATTTGCTTAATTTTCGTGAATTAAACAAAGTTTTTCCTTGGTTAGACCTACCTTTTATTCCAATCAAAGAGTCCCTCTTATATCAATGAATGAAAACATCGTATTTTCACAATTGTTGTGGCGTACAATGGACAAAATGAATGGAACAAAAATAAATAAAAATAGAATTAAATGATTTCGATAAAAAACATTGATTATTTTCCCATTAAATAGTACGTCACGTGATATTAAATTCTTTTTTATGTGTCTTATAGAGTTAAAAACATATTAGAACAAAGGCAGTTTATAAGATTTATATTTATATTTTGTAACAGGCCTCCTAACTGATGCTTATATTTCCGGTCGACTAACACCAAAGGCTATAGTATTGTGTCATCAAATTTATTATATAATATGTAACATTTCCATTAAACTCAATAGTGTAATGTTTTACCGATTCTGTGATTGGTACATGGTTCAACTACTGTAGAATATCAATATTTCGAATAAATCTGTGTTTGTTAACTATAATTATTCTTCGCAGTTTATTTCTAATCTATGTGCAATACGGTAAGTTCTATCCATACTATAAAGCTGATTGTGATATGAATTGCCTAAGTCAACAAAGGTCTTGGGTCTACAAAAAAAAATTCTAGAAATTCATCATGTACGTCACTAACATTATACATTACGGGTTTATATTTTTCACCGTAATCCTACTCTTAACTATAATTTTGATGTGACTAACACTGGTTATATTTTTTACCAAACAACGGTTTCAAGAACACGTTGTTCAAATTTACTTTGGTAATTATACCTAAAGTTCAAGTAGCCGGGTCTATATTCTGCATATTTTAGCGCTTTGCGTAGGGTTTTCCCTATTGCATTAATACACAACCAAGGTTTGACTGAACCTGAAATGATCCAGTGGTGGATCCTGGAATTCGAAATAGAGGTGGCCCAGGGAGGGACTTTCACAGACGGAGGGTGTAGACCACCTCAGCCACAACCATAAGACAACTTATGATTATGACACTTCTATGGCCGGAAATGGCACTCTCTGACAGATTTAATCATTTCCTTTTTTTTTTCTCTATTTTTAAAATATTTAAAAAAAATTTAGGGGCCGGCTCGCCCCCACTTCATTGAGTCCGCCACTGTGATCAGCTTTTTACGTCCAAGTTGGCTAAAAACTGGAGCAGTTGTCATTCTATTCTTTGGTTTTTTAAATGGCTATTAGGAAATATTAGAACACCATTTGAAGCCTTAATTACTAATTTCTTTTATCAGTATTCTCTGACAGATTCATAATAAATTTGCATGTGTAGGTAACCATGCCAAACAGTGGGAGGGCTCCCTCCCCCGTTGGACTTGCCTGGACGCCCCTCACCCCCTACACACTGGTACCCTTGTCGACATTTACATTCAGAAAATAACCATATATTGCAAATTCGACTCTCTGATATTGGTTATTATTTGTTCTCAACGAAGTCCACTTTACGAATGGCACGAAGAGCGGTAATATCAGACAAACGAAACTTTAGAAAATATATTTCAATGAATACTAAGCTGTTCACATATTTTTTGTGGGTAAAAGGTGACAGTTAAAAATGAATTCATCCTTCCTAGAGAGAAGCAAATAGATTCTATGTGCAATACGGTAAGCTCTATCCATACTATAAAGCTCATTGTAATATGAATTGCCTTAGTCAACAAAGGTCTTGGGTCTACATAAAACAATTCCAGAAATTCATCATGTACGTCACTAACATTATACACTACAGGTTTAAGTATTTTTTACCGTAATCCTACTCTTAACTATAATTTTGATGTGACTAACACTGGTTATATTTTTTACCAAACAACGGCTTCAAGAGCACGTTGTTCAAATTTACTTTGGTAATTATACCTAAAGTTCAAGTAGCCGGGTCTATATTCTGCATATTTTAGCGCTTTGCGTAGGGCTTTCCCAATTGCATTAATACAAAACCAAGGTTTGACTGAACCTGAAATGATCCAGTGGTGGATCCAGGAATTCGAAATAGAGGTGGCCCAGGGAGGGACTTTCACAGACGGAGGGTGTAGACCACCTCAGCCACAACCATAAGACAACTTATGATTATGATACTTCTATGGCCGGAAATGGCACTCTCTGACTAATTTAATTATTTCCTATTTTTCTCTATTTTTAAAATATTTTAAAAAAATTTAGGGGCCGGCTCGCCCACACTTCATTGAGTCCGCCACTGTGATCAGCTTTTAACGTCCAAGTTGGCTAAAAACTGAAGCAGTTGTCATTCTATTCTTTGGTTTTTCAAACGGCTATTAGAAAATATTAGAACACCATTTGAAGCCTTAATTACTAATTTCTTTTATCAGTATTCTCTGACAGATTCATAATAAATTTGCATGTGTAGGTAACCATGCCAAACAGTGAGAGGGCTCCCTCCCCCGTTGGACTTGACTGGACGCCCCCCACCCCCTACACACTGGTCCCACCCTTGTCGACATTTACATTCAGAAAATAACCATATATTGCAAATTCGACTCTCTGATATTCGTTATTATTTGTTCTCAACGAAGTCCACTTTACGAATGGCACGAAGAGCGGTAATATCAGACAAACGAAATTTTAGAAAATATATTTCAATGAATACTAAGCTGTTCACATATTTTTGTGGGTAAAAGGTGACAGTTAAAAATGAATTTATCCTTCCTAGAGAGAAGCAAATAGATTCTATGTGCAATACGGTAAGTTCTATCCATACTATAAAGCTCATTGTGATATGAATTGCCTTAGTCAACAAAGGTCTTGGGTCTACAAACAACAATTCTAGAAATTCATCATGTACGTCACTAACATTATACACTACGGGTTTAAGTATTTTTCACCGTAATCCTACTCTTAACTATAATTTTGATGTGACTAACACTGGTTATATTTTTTACCAAACAACGGCTTCAAGAACACGTTCTTCAAATTTACTTTGGTAATTATACCTAAAGTTCAAGTAGCCGGGTCTATATTCTGAATATTTTAGCGCTTTGCGTAGGGTTTTCCCTATTGCATTAATACGGTACACAACCAAGGTTTGGCTGAACCTGAAATGATCCAGTGGTGGATCCAGGAATTTGAAATAGAGGTGGCCCAGGGAGGGACTTTCACTGACGGAGGGTGTAGACCATCTCAGCCACAACCATAAGACAACTTATGATTATGACACTTCTATGGCCGGAAATGGCACTCTCTGACTGATTTAATTATTTCCTTTTTTCTTCTCTATTTTTAAAATATTTTAAAAAAATTTAGGGGCCGGCTCGTCCACACTTCATTGAGTCCGCCACTGTGATCAGCTTTTAACGTCCAAGTTGGCTAAAAACAGGAGCAGTCGTCATTCTATTCTTTGGTTTTTCAAATGGCTATTAGAAAATATTGGAACACCATTTGAAGCCTTAATTACTAATTTCTTTTATCAGTATTCTCTGACAGGTTCATAATAAATTTGCATGTGTAGGTAACCATGCCAAACAGTGGGAGGGCTCCCTCCCCCGTTGAACTTGCCTGGACGCCCCCACCCCCTACACACTGGTTCCACCCTTGTCGACATTTACATTCAGAAAATAATCATATATTGCAAATTCGACTCTCTGATATTCGTTATTATTTGTTCTCAACGAAGTCCACTTTACGAATGGCACGAAGAGCGGTAATATCAGACAAACGAAACTTTAGAAAATATATTTGAATGAATACTAAGCTGTTCACATATTTTTCTTGTGGGTAAAAGGTGACTGTTAAAAATGAATTCATCCTTCCTAGAGAGAAGCAAATAGATTCTGGTTCTGAAGGGTAAAGCCGACCTCCTAAAGACTCCAAAATGTGAGATAACAGGAGGGGTAGAAATAGTGTCGAATGATTGGAAAGGTCCACCAGCGCAGTTTGAGACGCGAAGCGGATTCAATCAAAGATACCGTACTAGAAACACAAGATAGAGTTCTAAACAGAAAAAAAGTGTTCCACCGAAATGCATGATGGGAATACAAACAATGGGGCGCAGCGTACGGCTGGATCTAAAAACACATCTGCCAAACTTACATCACGGTGAATGTATAAGCTCTTTTGCCGGCCCGTTTGGCAGAGGTAGACATCGTTGCCACCCATAAGATACAAACATGTAGGCATAAATAAATAAAAATAAGACACAAAATTGCAGAATCTTATGACCAGGGGTGGCGCCAGGACCTGCCCGACGGAGGGGCTAAAGGCCCCGACGGGGGGGGGGGGGGCCG